TTACAGAAAATGTTTGAAAATGGATGGATGGAGTTACTGATAAAATATAGAATCCATATGCAGTAATAAGCCCAAACTCTTCAAATAATGAGCAAAACTGGATTTTCATTTGTAAGGTAGCACATTTAAAATCAATGATTTAACCTTGATTTCTTTAACTAATATCTAATTTGTCATGTCTAATTGGTTAATTAACTCTTAATACAAAGCATAACTGAGGCTGATGGGAGTGTCATTAAGTTATTTGGTCATAAAGCAAAGTATAGGACTATTTTATTATATTATATTTTGACCTGATGATGGCGCTAGATGAAAAGTTAACTGGTTTTTGTTTACATCACAGACAAACAGTGGTGTCATACAAACGGCGATGCTGGAGCAGCTTTTATTATAGAGATAAATGTGCCTTAAAAACAGTGCTGGGATCAGCATCAGTAAATCATAGTGCCAGTTGCTGAACTTTCACAGCAGCAAAAGAGGTTTTATATAAGTTTCAAAGGTCGGGACGTTCAATTTCAAGTTTCTTAGCATAGCCTGTCCCTTGACAGCTGGGGTAGAGCCATGGTTCACTACAGGGATTTGATTGCGTGTGACCAACTTTTCCATAATAGCGTGAGCCTGAGGCACTACAGCACTTTATAACCAAAAAGATAAACAACAAATTGCTCAGACTCCAAACCCTTTGCCCCATTCCACTCTCCATCTTCCATCCAGATGATTTTAGGGCATTATTTGCTCTGAAACATCCCCTCCCCACAGGCGCCAATTTATGACAAGATATGCTGGCACTGTTCTGTTGGGAGGTCACAAAATATGGTGAACTAAATTGGAGTGAGGTGGGTGCAAATATTAGAAATATGAATTTATTTATTTATTTATTTTTTACTTCTAAATGTAGATACATGAAAACATTTGTATTATTACACCTCAGTGGTTCTTGCTCAATCTGAAAGCCTTTGTATGTATTTACGCTGCTTTACATTTAGTAGAGACACCTTTGGCAGCAGTTACAGCCATAACTTCTCTGTGGATACTGTAAGCTTGTCTCAACGGTACATTTCTCTCCATTCTTCTTTGAGAACAGCTCAGCTGCATCTGGTTGCATGTGGATTGTGGGAGTGAACAGAAGTCCTGCCATCAATTTTGGACTGGAATGAGGTCTGGACTCTTAGACCATTAATGTTGTTTTTAACTACTTCTTTTGCAGCAAGTATTCCTCCAGGATTTCAGAGTCTGCTGCAAATAAAACATCCCCACAGCAGTAAGCTGCCACTGCCAGGCTTCACGGTGTGTTTCTGCTGTGTGCTGGTTGGATTATACCAAACTGTTTGGAATGACTGCCAAACACCTCAGTTTGGTTACATCAGACCAAAAGCACCTGGCTATACTGCATACTCCAGTGTGTAGTATAAATCTATGTACTCCATATCTCCCATCTCAACAGTTTTTAAAGATGTTCCAGGCAGATTTACAACTGTACAATATCTTTTTATTTTTATGACTATACTCCGAGGGATATTCACTCCATACGCACTAGTTTGATAAAGTTGTCTCACATTTGTTTGTTTCTTTGTCTTTAAGATGTACAGTGGGTTCAGACAGGGAACTGACTATACAGCAGTTGGGTCTTCCAGATACAGGTGCATTCAGGCTAATGTCATACCTTGATAACACACAAATAATCTCCATTCAATTTACGCAACTTCTAAAAACAACTGATCCTTCTTAAGTCCCACCCCTTTTTGCTCTGTGCTCCAATAACAGTTGCCTCAGTCGACTTTCTCCTTTCCTGTTGTAGAAATGCTATGTGCTAGGCTTGTCTATGTTGAATAGACAGCCAGAAAATCTGTTAATGCAATTTTTCTATGTCTCAAATTACTCCAAAAGTATGTAACATTATGCAAAGGCAGTATGCATTATGTGGAGCTGTCATTCCTCTGTCTCTGCCCCTCTTGCAGACCCGTTATCCCAAAGTACAGACTACAGTTGCTAGTGGGAGAAACTATAATACAAATAGAAGAAATGCAGTAGAGCCAGAACCTTTAAGTCTTGCCAAGGGCATATGCAGAATATGATTCTGGACTATGCATAAGGCATATTGAGTCTGGGATTTGAAGAAATCTCTCTGGATATTAGACAGTTTCACTGCACCCTGAGGCTCCGAGTGGAAAGCACAGGAGGTTTGTAATAGGAAGGCATGTGTATATCACACTATACTACAGGTACAATATTATACACATTGGGTATGCAGCATGATATTTGTATCTGACTGATCCAAACCCCACAGGAGTTACAGCATTTTTGGGGATTTGGGAAAGATAATGATGAAATACCCACTGTGTGTTTGAACACTAAAATACTGACATAATGTGAGACCAGAGGAGGAAGTATTTGAGGTAGCACTTAATAAAGTGAGAAAAACAGTAAGGTCCTGACACTGAAAATGGAACACATTAAATATTAAAACTCTGCAGCAGCAGCAGTGGTGACAGTACATTTATGAAAATGTGGAGCGCTGGTGAGACTTACTGAAAGCAGTCTCTCTGAGTGGACACATTCTTCAGGTACTGCTTCAGAGCCTCGCAAAACTCGCCCAGCTTCTTCTGGGAAACCACCATCTCCTGACGAATCAGCAACAAGGACTGTAGAGGAAGAGAGACAGACGGAGGTCAATTTTGTACTGACGTTTCCATTTAAGTATAAGCCGCTGGGTTTGTTACAAACAGACAGATATAAATACAAATATATGGTTCTGTACTAAACAATGAAACTTTTTAATTGGCTCTTTTGTTTGTCTTTGTTGGCTGACATTTCTCATTTTTCAACCCAAAATACATTTTTGTACTTTTAATCTGCTTTGCCAAATACATTTCGGAGGAAATGTAATTACTGCACTGATTACGTTCACTGCGTCTGGTGTTGAACTTCAAGTCAGCATTGACTTTTTCAATAAATAACCACGACCTTTCCCTAACTGTAACCAAGTGCTTTAGTTGCCTACACATAATCACATAAATCAGGCTTTAGTTGCCAGGAGTGAATACTGTATGAAAAACTATGGCAGTAAAATGAAATGGCAGTACCTGAGTTTGCAAATACATAAACTATAAATGGTTCCTTGTTACGTTGAAAAACAAAAACAGTAATGTAATCCGGGCAGCATTTCCTACTTGTCCATTATTTGCTAATGCATAGTAGTAGTACTGTGAATGTAAAGACATATACCTTTTTACACTGTAAAACCTGACAACATTTTAATAAAAGAAGTAAGTTAACTAACTTAATCCTCCAAAAAGGTGCAGCAGTTTCATGATAGCAACTGCATTTACCAGGAGATGTGTGTTACTCATCTGTGGTGTCAGTGTTATGCCTCCACTTCAGCTACAAACTATTTCTCTGATGTGGAAATGCGATGGAAGGGCATTAAGCAGTGCCCTTCCACAGTCCCCGGCTCCTGCAGGTAGATACAAAGTGTTCATAATGTCACACAGCCTATAGAAATGTTTTGATGGAGGCTTCCTGGGGACCCAGCGGTCTAAGACGATGTAACTATAACATCTCCAGTGGCCTTAGTGTGTTTGTGTATGTATGTGTGTGAGACAGATTGAACATTTCTCTGTTTGATCTTAACTTTCTGTATAGTACAGTACAGAAAGTCCCTTCCCAGTGGTCAACAAGCTTTAGTCTGTGAAAGGTGTGTGTGTGTGTGAGAAGTGCTGTACATCAGAACCTCAAGGATCATTTGCAATTATTTGTATATATCCCATTTACAAAACAACAAGAGAACTACTGCTGCGCTGCACTTTAACCATTATTTATCTATATTTAGTATTTAGCCATTTGTTCTTCCCAAACTACTTACTAACCAATTTGACCTGACATTGGCTTATCTTCCTCTCCCACCTCAGCCCTGTGCTGCACTGCTTACTTAATTTTTACCTCACATAACCTAACACCAACTATCTTTGCCGCCACTCTGCTCCTCCTCTCTGTGCAGTCTCTCTCTGTCCTCATTCTGGGTCTCCTCTAGACTGCAGATATGATTAAATAAATAAAAATATTTATCTGGATGAAAATCACTGCTGCTCTTTGTGTTTCAATCTATTTTGGAAGGTAACCCGTGCTGGTAACCCCTCTTGGCTGCTGTTTCTCGCCACTGTCTGGTTCTGTTTTAATCTTTAACCCCCCTCCTTGAGAAATATTTCCAATTCTCTTTAAGATACTAGCACTGACCACAGAGACAGGAAGTGTTGTTGCTATTATCAGGAAAGATACTAGATTATGCAGCAGTTACTGAAAATACAACTTGCTGTAAAACATCCTCTATATTTAGCAGATATTAGCTACAGCTCTTGCAGCTTCCACACATGAAGGCTCTAAGTACTCAACATGTCTGCATCCACTCGTGTGTTAGTGTGCCTCTATCACTTTGTTTTATTGGCATGTAATGACTGTTTATCTCTTGACATCACTGTTTATCTGCTGCCGTTAACTTAAATTGCTGTCATGAGGCAGCGACATTACTGCAACATTAAGCTGCAAGAATGAGCACCTGGCCGTTGGTGAGTACAGATATGTGTTGTATGTGTGTGTTATCTGTGAGGCAATGATTGCATGGGCGCCTATGTGTGTAGCACCCATAACAGTGACACAACCTGACAGACTTATAACAGCTGTGCATACTACTTTAAGACATGAACACACACACAGAGATACACACAAACACACACAGACATCCTACCAACTCAATTAGAAACACTACATTGCCCAGCAGCCTCTGTTAATCTAATCACTACAACTCCATTAACCCTCCTGCCTCCCTGACCAAATCTGTACAATTACATCTGCTCCCCTCTCACACCGTGGCCCTGCAGAGGTGATGAATCAGGAGCCTCTAATGCTAACCTCTGTGTTAATGGCCAAACAGGTTGTTTTTTAGCTAAGCTAGTGGCTCAGAGAGGCTAACTGTCCGGTATGTGTGTGGGATTGTCAGTGTGGGGGTGCTTTTATAGTCTTCTAAAGCACAAGTCTGAACCAATGCGCTAGAATATAAAAATACTAAGTAGAGAGTTAGCAAAAACTAGCACAAACTCCTGTGAATGATGCATCTCCATCATATTACATTTGAAAATGAGCGCAGCAGTTTTTACAGACTCCCATTTGAAGTGGAGGCTGTGTGAGGTGGGTGTTTTTTTATATAAATGCTGTGAATCGTAGCATTGGCCTGTGTAAATGTAAAGGGTGATTCGAAACAGTAGAGGGCGTGCTGATCCATTTTTAACCCACAAAATGCAGATTTTCATACATTTGGTAATAATGTAATGTTTAATATCATTTCATATTTCTTTCATAGCTGAGGTTGGTATCAATCTTCTAACTTTCAGCAAAAATGCAAATGAACATATTTCCCAAAATGTTGAACTCTTCTGTTAAGTACACTTGGTCAGAAGTAATAATAAAAAATTGAATGAGTTAGCTTTGCTTTGCTTTGCTTTGCTTTGGGTACTGATTTACTGTTTTTTTCCACTGTGCTCAGGGCCATAGCCAGGAGAAATACTGACCTCATTAGTCAGCCTCAGAAAATTTAGGCTGGCCAAAGAAAAGTCTAATCTTCTTTATTTTGCACATTTCTATATTCATTTGCCTGCCAACATAGTTTCTGTAAGTGTAACTCCTTACAGAATTACATTTAACCTTCTCCACAATGCCAGATACGTATACTTATAATGGAGAAATACTAAATACCCACATTTTAGCTGATTATATGGAGTAAAACTGAATAATATTGACTCTAATCTAATCAAAATAAAATGTGAATCATGTAGAATTTGTGTGTAATTGTGTGATAGAAACAATACTGAGGACTGGTCGTCAGTGTCCTTGATGGTCGTCACCGTGTTGTTTTAAACACAGTGGCAGAATAAAGAGAAAATCAGGCATCTAATTGATGCCTTAGTTTATTTTTTGAAATCCTTTCAGCAAATATTATTAATTTAGTGAAACTGATTGAGACATCAGTTAAATGCCTGACATGAATTTTTACCATCCATTATGCCACTGCAGCGCAGTGTGCTAGTAGCTGATTTCCTCAAGTAAAATGTCAGACAGCATTTTCCTTTCTGTTTCTGATATGCATTTGAATAACGACTTCTCAGAAATAGGGATTTATGAGATGCACTTAAATGAATCTTGTATAGTGAGAGGGACTAAACAGTGACAGCTACATTAGACTTATTATGGACTATTTTCTTATAAACTGTCCATCTTGTAACACACAAGTAAAGCTAAGAGCAAACTTCAAATTGATGACAAAGGGGAGATTTAATGAATGCAGAGATGTAGTGATGGGCATATGTTTAATATGCAGTGAAATGAATTGATATGTGATGATATTAAACAGCGTAAGAGAGTGTATGCTGGGATTTTCCCTGAAGGCTCACCAGTTCTGAAATATGCACACACTCCTGTCAGAGGTCTGCGGCTCATTACTTTATATTGTTTAAGAACTGCCTTGAGCTTTCAATATATGCACTGTGGTATACTGTAATGAATTTGCTCTGCCAGTGTCTGTTCAGTACGTGTGTGAGTGTGTGTTGTGTCCACAAGAACATCTATAATGGGGCTTCTTCTTGCGCCTGTAAAACTTGCAAATTATTGCATTCGTGTGTGTGCGTGCGTTTATAGGACACTATTGACTATACAAGTCTGTTTGATTGGACAAATGGCTGACTATCACCATGTCGTAAAGAGACGTGGCGCCTGGTTTATATGCTTGTATAAATATTATTGATTTCTGTCTTTTCCTGAGCTCCATCAGCATTCTTCAACATGGTTTTCACCTTTACAAAAGATGAGTTCTTCTCTTATTGCCGCAATGAGCATAGTGTTTATTTATACAGATTGTTTCATGATACAATGGTGAAATCTATTTGTAACATTTGATGATAGGATTTCTCACAGTGACATAGAAAATGACACATTACATAAACTGAAAGGGTCAACTTTGTGCCAAGTGAGAATGGAAAGAAAATGTGTTTGTTTCACTATGCTAAGCTGTGACCCCAAAGAGAAAAAAACAAGATAGTTGAAAACAATTGAGGTTTAAAGTATTGCGCAACTTTAACCTAAATGAAGCTTTTAGTGCAAGTTCAAGAACGAAGACAACTGTCAGCCTATTTTGTCATCACACTGAGGGTCAATCTCTAAACTGTGGACCCTATAGTTTGTATACTTTGAATATTATCATTGCAATCTATGCGGCTTCCCAGCTTCGCACATGCACCGCCCCACTGTCACCAGTTTAAATCTCCCGTCATGGCTCCTTAGGGGCATCTCTGATTGGCTGCTACTTACAGAGCTCTATCCTTATACATCAATCTCATGGACGGGGTCAACACCAACGTCTTTATCAAATACAGCTTCTGCCTTCAGGTTACCTTGTCTTTCCTGAATGAACTAAAAATAGAGTGGAGTATTGTATGCTCAAGAGTTAGCATGAAGTCAGAAATTCTGCATCACTGAGTGGGACAATCCACCAAAAAGTAGATGTACTATAGTAAGGACATATACTAGGAAATGTGAGTGAGCTGAAAGTATGTCAAATGTAAAGCATTTAAAAACTTATGTGCTGCTTCTGCTCTCT